GAAAACAGTGACCCCCACCTCATTCATTCGCAAATATCTCCACTTGTATTCAAGATAAATTGATGTTTTCTTCATCTAAATAAAGGCAAGTGAACAAGCTTTAAGATGTAACCAATAACTCTACATGCCCAAAAATTGACGAGCGCCTGATTCCACCACGAAATAGCAGCAGTTCCCCTTATGTTGTTCCGGCACTGTATGAGCATGGCATTGATAAATCAGCCCATTTACAATTCTACAGTGCATATGAACATGTCAATATCCCCCCTTTCATCAAAGCCGGTGCCTTGCCGACTGGCGTGGGCGATCATGGACCTCCACTTCACCCTGTCCTTCGCTGCAGCAATGGTGTCTGTTGTTCTTGCTGCTCCCAACCATGTTGTCATCTTGTCCAGTATCTTTTCCCTCTGTCTGCCTCTGCCTCTCTTTCCATCAAACTTTCCTGTTGTGACAATATTCTCTAATGCTTCTTTCCGCATTGTGTGTCCGAAAAAATTTGCCTGTCGTTTTCTTATATTCGTGATAAGTTGTTTTCTATAATTTGCTTCAACCAGGACTTCTTCATTTGTTTTTCTAGCTGTCCATGGGATGCGTAGCATGCGTCTTATGAACCACAACTCTGTCGCTACAAATGTTCTTTCCAGCTGTTTATTGATTGTCCACGCTTCGCACCCGTATAATAGGATTGGCTCGATGTAACTTTTCAGTACTCTTTTCCTCGTCTCCAGTGACAGATTGATGTTTGTTAATATCTGTTTCATCTTGTGGAAGGTTGCTTTTGCTTGGCAAATGCGGCTTTTAATTTCGGTGTGACATCTACCATCTGATGATATAATGGTCCCCAAATATTTAAAATGTTGTACTTGCTTGAGGGTGGTATCGTTGACTTTGATATTGCATGGTGGGATTGGGGTTTTTGTGCCTATCACCATTATTTCGGTTTTCTTGATGTTTAGGCTTAAGCCCATGTTGTCACTCTCTTGTACGATGACATTTAATAGATTCTGCAGGTGTTCATCATCTTCTGCTATAAGGACTGTGTCGTCTGCATATCTTAAATTGTTTATAATATGTCCCCCTATCGAGATACCAGGCATTTCTTCTATGTGTCTCATGGTATTTTCACTATATTCCCCCCTTTGGGAATGGCCTAAAGACACGCCAGTCAGTACCACTGACTTGGTTGGGGGGGGGGGGGTCATATTTGCTGCAGTTGTTTTGTTTAAGCAAGAGTTTTAGGGCACTTGAAACACAATTAAGTCATACAAGTGCCAAATATTAAGATGCATTACAAGAGAGTAACGAACACAAAAAGGAAGGAGATATAAGGACGATAGATGTTTGTTAGTTGTTTGGTAAGTGTTTTGTTCACGGCACTCGCGACTGCATAAAGTCATATTGGACATATTAAACATTTTCAGTTTGGTAAGAATTAATTGTAAATTTTGCCCGGGTGGCGACCGAAGCCTACTTTTATAGATTTAGGACCAACAAGGGATCTTTAACGTGCACAACTTGCAAACAGGACCTCCGAGATTTGTCGCCCTTATCCGAGAAGGCTATGTGTTAAATCTAACCTACCCTAAAAACAGGGGTGTGGTTGAAAGACAACAATAAGAAGGGGCCAAGGCGTAGCAGTAGAAAGACTAGAAAGAGAGTCAGGTACCCAGAGGAGGGGGCAAAGGGGGTAGGGGCAGAAAGAGGAGACGAAAGAAGACGACAGAATAATATTATGGTTTGAGAGCAGCGAAGGAGGTGATAAGAGAACATTTTAGAAATTTTCCGTCGCTGTCAGGTTTCGAAACCGGGTCCTATTGAATGAGAAGCGAGCACCGTAGTCTCTAGACCACGAAAGCCCCCGATAGATGTTTGAAAGGAAAGAAGAGGCAAACCCTACCAGAGAACCCGCCAACCACTCACGTTATGGGTTTAAGTCGTCTCAAACACAAACATTTTTTTTACAAGAAATGCTCTCGGGGCCAGCTCATTATAGCAGCGTACAACGTGGAAATGTATGAGAGGAAAAGAACAAAAAATACTAATAGATTAGTATGCTGTACATACGGGTACTCTCATGTATTATTTAGGAGTGCGTACAGTTTGCCAGTACGTTCACAACCACAATTTCATCTAGTCCTCGATTCTCTCTCTCTCTCTCTCTCTCTCTCTCTCTCTCTCTCTCTCTCTCTCTCTCTCTCTCTCTCTCTCTCTCTCACTCACTCTCTCTCACTCTTTTTCATTCTCTCTCTCTCCCCATCCTTCTCTCCACACTCTCAACATTTCATTCCATCTTCGGGATTATTCTCGGGTGTCGCTTTTCCACCTCCGAGAGAGTTCAATAACTCCCAACTAGCCGGTAGAGCTGAGCGAAGAATCGATTCCAGAACCGATTCCTACGATCAAGGTTACGGAAGAAAAGTCTCAACTCCTTTTTACGTAAACCAACAGTTACAAGTTACTTTTGTCATAAATTATTTTTTTTAAAGAATTTATTTTTAAAAAATATGTGTTAATGCTTCGAGTGTTCCTAAATCAAGGTTGTCCTAAATCCTGAAAATGTTTGGAGCCAACCAGGTAACCACCGGAAGAAATCACGACATCATTAGAAAGTAATTGGGTTCGGAGTCCATTCCTTCGATTCCTTGCGTTCAATGATCGGGAACCTAGCCGCCCAGCACTACTTAGCCGGAGCCTCAGAGTGTCTGTCAATAATCCAGATCCCAGACGGACATTAGCATTCTCCCTGCCTCAGATGAGAAGGGTGTCAGCTTCGCAGTTGAACAAAAGCACGAATTTAAACAAAGGCCTAGAGGTGGTAAATTGCAAATTTTACGAGTACCAAGGATTTCCATATGCAAGTTGCGCACGTTAAAGATCCCTTAGTGGTCTAAAATCGATAAGAGTGGGCTTCGGCCGCCACCGGGCAAAATTCAAAATTTCCTACCAACTGAAAATATTAGGTGTGTCCCGAGCGCTCATATGACCTTATGCAGTTGCGAGCGCCGTAAAACACTTACCAAAGAAAAAAGAAACCAAGGGTTTTCTCTTTTACCCATTGGTGAGTATATTAAGACCCTGCAGAATTCGGGACCCATTGAATGATAGGCAAACACTCTAATTTCTACACCATGTAGAGAGGAAAAGAACAAAATACACTACTACTAATAATAATAGATAGCATTTGTATAGCGCATATCCCCGCTCAGCAGCAGGCTCTATGCGCTTTACACTATATTATCAAAGATAGTACAGCCTACGGTAAGATGTCGCAGTGGCCCAATTTTGTGAGGCACGTGGACCCCTAGCGCCACTAGCGGCGAGCGTGCGACAGTATGTAAACAAGTACGGCGAGAGACTCGCAACGCTCATGCTGTCGGCATTGCTGGCCAGTTTTGTTCAGCGATCGGCCGTTCTAATTTCAGAGGAAAAACTAAATAATTGTCTTTCCTCAGATTCCCATAGAACGAAAAATGGAAAGACAATGTGAAATTGATTTTTTAATCTAGAGTCTAGATTAGAGCTAAACTAGAGAGATCAGAGTCCAGCCTGTAAGCTTTGTTTAGTCTCTGCATCATGCATCCTTGACTATGATCAATGCTTTGTACTCTGTACTTTGTTGTGTGTGGGTCCATTCCAATAGGTGTAGAACTAGATTCTAGATGCAAATGTTCTATAGATCTATATGTTTTCTGTGTTGTAGGTTATTATGTAATTTGTTCTTTAGCACAACACAGAGATATCAGTATTTTGCATATTAATTTGTAACTTTTTATGACGTATGGGCCATTGGCCTCGAAAGTCAATAAAAATCTAATTCAATTCAATTCTCTCACCACACATACTCATACGCACCTGTACGCACGCACGCACGCATGCACGCACGCACGCACGCTCGCACACACACACACACACACACACACACACATACACACACACACACACACACACACACG